ATTACTATAAATTTGTATATGTACATTATACATAATATACATATGTACATTGTACATAATATAGATATGGTCCACATATTAAGAACACATATCAATATAAAAATGGCTAAATTATTTTCAGAAAAATGCAAATAATTTTCTACTCTTTCATCTACACAGGGCAAGCAAAAATATCATAAAAACTTATAAATTTAAAATTTACGAAGAAAGATGTCCAGTAACGGTCGATAGTAACGCGATAACAAAAAAAACATCTTTCATTTTTTATTCATATGAATACATGATAATTCACAACGGTACCTTAAACAATCCTTTATATAATTAAAGGGAGTGTTCGCAAAAAATGAAAAACAAATCATTCGAATATTACAACCTATAGACATCGATTATTTTTCGATGCATTTGTATATAGCAACATTCTGAATTTGTATGGACGCTACTTTCAATGTTGTGTAAGTCGTTTTTAATAATTTTCTCCTTAAAGACGCAACAGATAAAAGTAAGATTAGTAGCGATCAAAAGCGATAATTTTTCGCAGTAAGCCTATACCCCCTTTCATTTTTCGCGAACACTCCCTTTAAAGAATACTTGAGCTATCCTTGTTTTCCTAATCTTCAATTTTCTTTCTGAATAAAAAAGGAAATGGAAATTGTCAGATTTAAACATGTTTCAAGAAAGAAAAACGAAAATATCTTCCGCATAGTACCAAATAAAAGTTTACAGGCATATATGCAGAGTGAATCGTCCCTCTCTAGAAGTTGAGGCTCATTGAAAACTACGTCAGTGAACTCGAATATATTCGAAAATATTACAAATCTCTAAAATTATGCAAAACAATTAGATATAAAATAAACTAGATGCTACCATTATTGTTTATATAAACATTTAAACAATTTAGTGTAAACTGTAAAACAAACAATGCCCGCATTACACTCTCTTAGCGTTTGACACATTAATTATTACAAAAAGAATTCGCAACAGAGACTGTCATAAAGAATCTACAATGTTATGTTTTGAAAACAAAATTTTCTTTAATATTTTACTAAACATCATTGCCGTATTTACAATGTTAAACGTTTTTTTCTATTGAAAAAATGAATAAGAAATTATCATCTTCAACGAAAATAAATTTAAGAAATTATTTTCACAATTTTTCAAAAACAGGTTTATGCATGGAACAAATTGTATTGGCACTCTTAAAATGCGTATTTTCTAAAATTTGTCTTTGTTGTTTCTGGAAATTTCCGATTCACACCAATACACTTAAAATCTAGATCCAAGAGCTAATATGGAAGATATCGTGAAAATTTGCATTGTAGTTTTTTTTTCGAGGAACCACTATGGAAAATAATCATCTTCAAATAGGAAAAAGATTTTACCATCAAATCACTGATATTTATCTGCATGCACAGCTTATCATTGAACAGTGTTTCTTTTGTAAGAGGAGAGTCGTTAAAATCAAATCCTGAGCTGAACTTAAATCTGGATGAATCAACTCCTGATCTGAACTTAAATCTTGATGATTTTGTAGAATCTACAGAAGACCCAGGAAGCAGGGAATCAAGAGATCTTATTTATGAAAAGATGGTGAGCTGGGCGTTCAGCCTTTTTCAATACAATAATCTTCAATAGATCAGAGCCAAAAACTTTAAAATTGTGGACATCGAGATCAATCCTTAATCTTCTTTTTTTGTTAATGCTTAATCAATTCTTAAGTTAATTTGTATCAACAAAAAAAGATAAACTCACATAACTCAACCAATCGAGTGGCGTTTGGAGAAACCAGAATAGCCAATCAGAAAAGGCGGGAAATTTGAAATTTTGTGCGCCATTTAATAAGTGAATGAGAAAACGAAAGAAAAAGAACGAATTAAAAATGAAATTAAAAGTGTTCACAGTGGATATTCAGATTACACGATCGGGATTAAAGGTTTCCAATTCTAAAGTTTTCAGCTCAGTTCTCTCTTTGTGAGTTTCGAGGAAACCCTGATTTAACAACTCATTTTATAAAATAAAAAAAAATAAAAATTGATAATTCACAACGGTACCTTTTAATTCTTGCATTTCTAGTAAAAAATTTATCATTTATAATTGTGGTTTCTGCATGGGAATTTTTTTTTTGAGCCGTTGCTACAAACTCTGATTTTCTATTTCCTATTTCTTTTTAACCCTATTCCTGCTGGGGGGGGGGGTCAATTTGACCCCCCCCCCTGTAGTTTTTTTTACATAACTCAAAAAGTATTGGTCTGAGGCTGTTGAAATTTTCTGACTTTTCTTACATACCCAAAACCCTCCCTTTAGGCCTAAAACCGGGCTTTAATACTAACTGCCTGAGTCCTCAGGCACACTGCCTGAATGACTGCTTTTGCCTGTCACAAACTAAATCTTTGTTTTGACCCACTTTCACTTGTCAGATTTTGATAAAATTTAGCTTTTTGGAAAGCCTATGACATAAGGAAACGGATTGCACAAGTTTTGCGAAAAAAAAAATTGCAAATTTTTTGCAAACAACCTGTCAAAGGAAATTTGCACATTTTTAGTTTTTCTTGATTAAAAATCAGGTTATTTAAAATTTTGCAAAAATTTTTTCATATTTGAAATGGCATGGTCAAGGGCTTTTAAAAATGTATAATTTTTCATTTTTTGGACAAATTTTTTTTTGCAAACAGTTTTACTATAAAACTGGATTTTGCGATAAAAAATTCAATTTTCGCAAATTTGCAATTTTTTTGCAGATTCTAAAAGTAGAGCACAAGAGCTTTCTAATGATGTATCATTTGTCATATTTGGACATAAAACATGGGATCCCCCCCCCCCAGCGTATCCTGGTTTTCAAGTACCCCAGCAGGGATAGGGTTAACCCATGATGTAAAAGACCTTAGATATTTCAAATTTTAATTTCTGTTAAATATAATAATCTAAGTTTGAAATAGAAAATATTTACACCAACCGGTTGCAAAAATTTCAAGAAAATTTGAGTTTGTGTCAAAAATGCAATTACTTGCATAAAGTCTATGCATATGTTCAAATTTTCTTGTATTTTCTATCAAATTTTTTAAACCATACATAGTTGATCTGCTTTTCAATGTTTATTAATTTGGATCTCTAATTAGTTTTTGGCAAAAAAGTCACGATAGAAGACAATTATTGAATTATTAAAACAAAATAGTAATTTTTTCAAGGTAGGATTAAGTCTTACAGTGTTAAAGTCTCCCATAATTTGAGTACTTTATTAAGACAATCAAATTATACTATAATACTACAAGTCTATACAATTTTTGTTTTAGATTATGAGAACTTTTACCGGCTCCCCTCGTTCAAAAAATGATAATAACATAGGAAAATTGTTTAAAATGTATTAAATAACAGTTAGGGATAAGAGAACAATTGAACAGTTGGGGTTCGGTTCTTTTTATAAAACTTGAGTACAGTTGGGGACGGTATCTTTTATAAAATATTTAACAGTTGGGGACGGTAAATTAGATAACATATTGAACAGTTGGATACGGTATCTTAGATAAAATATTTAACAGTTGGGGACGGTAAATTAGATAACATATTGAAAAGTTGGATACGGTATCTTAGATAAAAATATTTAACAGTTGGGGACGGTAAATTAGATAACATATTGAACAGTTGGGGACGGTATCTTAGATAAAATATTGAACTGTTAGGGACGGTATTTCATATAAAATATTGAACAGTTGGGGACGGTATCTTAGATAAAATATTGAGCAGTTGGGGACGGTATCTTAGATAAAATATTAAACAGTTGGGGACGGTATCTTAGATAACATATTGAACAGTTGGGGACGGTATCTTATATAAAATATTGAACAGTTGGGGACGGTATCTTAGAGAAAATATTGAACAGTTTGGGACGGTATCTTAGATAAAATATTGAACAGTTGGGGACGGTATCTTATATAAAATATTGAACTGTTGGGGACGCTATATTATATAATATATTGTACAGTTGGGGACGGTATATTATATAATATATTGAACAATTGGGGACGGTATCTTAGATAAAATATTGAACAGTTGGGGACGGTATCTTAGATAACATATTGAACAGTTTGGGACGGTATCTTAGATAAAATATTGAACAGTTGGGGACGGTATCTTAGATAACATATTGAACAGTTGGGGACGGTATCTTAGATAAAATATTGAACAGTTGGGGACGGTATCTTAGATAAAATATTGAACAGTTGGGTACGGTATCTTAGATAACATATTGAACAGTTGGGGACGGTATCTTATATAAAATATTGAACTGTTGGGGACTGTATATTATATAATATATTGTACAGTTGGGGACAGTATATTATATAATATATTGTAAAGTTGGGGACGGTATCTTAGATAAAATATTGAACTGTTGGGGACGGTATCTTAGATAAAATATCGAAAAGTTGGGGCCGGTATCTTATATAATATATTGAACAGTTGGGGACGGTATCTAAGATAAAATATTGAACAGTTTGGGAGGGTATCTTATAAAAAATATTAAACAGTTGGGGACGGTATATTATGTAATATATTGAACAGTTGGGGACGGTATCTTATATAAAATATTGAACAGTTGGGGACGGTATCTTATATAAAATATTTAACAGTTGGAGACGGTATCTTAGATAAAATATTGAACAGTTGGGGCCGGTATCTTATATAAAATATTGAACAGTTGGGGACGGTATCTTAGATAAAATATTGAACAGTTGGGGACAGTATCTTAAATAAAATATTGAACAGTTGGGGACGGTATCTTATATAAAATATTGAACTGTTGGGGACGGTATCTTTTATAAAATATTGAACAGTTTGGGACGGTATCTTATATAAAATATTTAACAGTTGGAGACGATATCTTAGATAAAATATTGAACAGCTGGAGGCGGTATCTTGGATAAAATATTAGACAGTTGGAGACAATCTTTAATAAAATATTGAACAGTTGGAGAAAATCTTTCATAAAATATTGAACAGTTGGGGGCGGTATTCTTGAAAGAAAAATATTGGATTCGTGGAATAACACGGAACAAATTCATTATGAAGACAGAGGTAAGATTTATTCAGAATTTTAAGAATAGAATGTGTTTAAAACAAGAGTTGGATAAAGAAATGTAATGAATTAAAAGATTATATTTGAAACGTTTCATAGAAATTATTGGTATTGCATACGAATTGACCCAATTAAAAGTGGGCTATGTATGGGTTCGAAAACGTTATTTGATCAAAAATGCAAAAAATAACGTTTTTTTTTGCTGGAAATATTTTCGATTCCAATAACGTAATATTTTCTAAATAAATGTTGTTTTCATATAATTTATTTTGCTAGAGATGGCGTATTTTGAAATTGGTGAACAGCCCCTTAAAATATTTTGTGAATAAATGTTGTTTTTATATTATTCTATCCTAGAGATGGAGTGTTTTGAAATTGTTGAACAGCCCCTTAACATATTTTGTAAATAAATGTTGTTTTGATATTATTTTATCCTAGAGATGGAGTGTTGTAATTATCTTAATGTTTCCGCAGTGTCTGGCGGGATCATGCTAAATCATCCCTACGTTATAGGTGGGAATTATTTATGCAAATTATTATTATTTGTAGAGGACTGTTTACAAAATTTTTGAGAGGGTTTAGTATACTTATTTTGTAATTTTTTAATTAAAATTTTGGCATTTTTTGGGTTATGTTTGAATATTTTATTAGATTTTTTGATGGTCCTGATATTTTGTGTCTTTTATATATTTAGTAGTTATCTATGTTTGTCTGTTTTGGTGTCTGTTTGTGTATCCGATATGTTTGTCTGCTTTGGTGTCTGTTTTTGTATCCAATATGTTTGTCTGTTTTGGGTGTCTGTTTGTGTATCCGATATGTTTGGGTGTTTTGGTGTCTGTTTGTGTATCCAATATGTTTGGGTGTTTTGGTGTCTGTTTTTGTATCCGATATGTTTGTCTGTTTTGGTATTTGTTTGTGTATCCGATATGTTTGTCTGCTTTGGTGTCTGTTTTTGTATCCAATATGTTTGTCTGTTTTGGTGTCTGTTTGTGTATCCAATATGTTTGGGTGTTTTGGTGTCTGTTTGTGTATCCAATATGTTTGGGTGTTTTGGTGTCTGTTTTTGTATCCAATATGTTTGGGTGTTTTGGTGTCTGTTTGTGTATCCGATATGTTTGTCTGCTTTGGTATCTGTTTGTGTATCCGATATGTTTGTCTGATTTGGTGTCTGTTTTTGTATCCTGATATGTTTTCCTGTTTTGGTGTCTGTTTGTGTATCCATTATGTTTGTCTGTTTTGGTGTCTGTTTGTGTGTCCAATAATTGGTCAGGAGCCCCTTGACCAACTTGATTGGATTCCCAAGCTACAGTATACAATGCAGTTTACCCCAGAACTTTGTTGACATAGAAAGAAGTTACAGTGGTAGGCGATTTTATCAATACAATGAAGACGACTTTCGATTTCAATTTAGATTTATGTCAAGATTTTAAACAGCATGGATACACATAAACACGGAAACAAAGAGATGTCAATTTAAAAAGCTTCTCTTTGATTACTTGTAATCTTGTAATTCTAAAAAAAGCTTGTAAACAATCAAAACTTACATGAAAAAGTCGTCCTCATTGTATTGATTTAATCGCCTACAACTGTATATAAAATGTCGTCTTGATTTTTTTAAATGGTAATAGTTCTTTTTCCGGCATGAGAGTTATCTTTTTTAATAAAAATAAATATCTAGGTAGCCGGGAAAAATTTAGGAAAACTTTAAAGAGCTTTACATATATATTTATTAAATAAAAATGACTAAATCTGTGACATTCCATTATCAGAAGGTGTTCAGAAGACGACATTTTGTAAATTCTTTTTATTTCTGCGAAGTTCTGGGATAAACATTTTCTAACTATGTTCCCGCACACAGAAATCCTGGACTAAGATTAATGGATCCAATAATTGTTATATTTTTAAACATTTATGTTGCTATTTTTATTTCCTATAGTAGTATAGGCATAAAACAGTAAAATGACTGTCCTCTTTAACATTTTATTATAGAAGGCTGAGGGTTAATTTTATTATTATTCGAAAAAACAGAGACAACAGTAATTGTGTTGTTTACATAATAAAGTTGTAATCTCTGTTTGGGTGTCTTTCAGTATCTTTGTTTGTTTTTACGATCATAACTCAGGACCCACGGGAATGTTTTAGCTTGGTTTTGATATTCTAATTTTAGTGGGTCCACTTTTAACGAGGGTTTTGAGATTCTAAATTTAGTGGGTCGACTTTTAACGAGGGTTTTAAATTCTAAGTTAAGTGGGTCCACTTTTAACGAGGGTTTTGAGATTCTAAATTTAGTGGGTCGACTTTTAACGAGGGTTTTGACATTCTAAGTTTAGTGGGTCCACTTTTAACGAGGGTTTTGAGATTCTAAATTTAGTGGGTCGACTTTTAACGAGGGTTTTGACATTCTAAGTTTAGTGGGTCCACTTTTAACGAGGGTTTTGAGATTCTAAATTTAGTGGGTCGACTTTTAACGAGGGTTTTGAGATTCTAAGTTTAGTGGGTCGACTTTTAACGAGGGTTTTGAGATTCTAAGTTTAGTGGGTTTTCTTTTAACGGAAAAATAGCAAAAATCGTAAATTACGACAAAGTCTGGGTAAACGGTGGTACTAATTATGACTACCCTGGGAAACGCTGGGTTCCCAAGCTAGTTTTTTATATATTAAAAAATGTTATCTTTAGGTCGATATAAAAAGATAGGTGTTTGCGGCGGAAGATCAATTTATCAAAATATGAATAATTCCGATATATTTATCTACTATGGCTGTGGCAGATGGTTTATCGGACTTGAGGTTACAAACCTTATTTATCAGATATGCAGGGGGACTCATAAAATTGTTACCGGGAGAGGAAGACGACATTGAAGCTATGGTATGTCAATTGATGTTAATAAAAATAAAATGATTTCTGAAAATTAACCATTAAGTGAAATGGGTCTGTGGACACTGCACAACTGCTGTGTTTTATGCTTATTAGAACTATTTGAAATCATAACTTTATTCTAAGAGTCGTTTTCGTTTCTCAGTTTTATGAGTCCCACTGTTACCAAACAAGGGTGGATTACTGAATAAGCTATCAGCTTTAGTTGAAATGGATCAAATATTTTAAAGGGACAAATGCAATTGTAAGTCGTGTTCCACAACATAACCTTTACCCAAAGAGAATAGAATATATATTAGAGTGGAATTTACTAAAAAAAGTGTAAAACTACCATTTTGTTGTACTGTTTCCATACTGCAGGTGTACTTCACAAATTTATGCTATATAACCTTTTGGGCCCTGGAATATAAATTTATAGAAAATCTAAAATTAATGTTATAAGAAAACCAAATAATTTACCAATGATCATTTCACATAGACTCTATGCCTTTCACTTTACAAACGATGATTTTCCGTTATAACAACTATAAATCAAATGATGTTTTTATTCACTTAATTCATTATAACGTTTATTTACCAGCTTTAAAAAATTCGAAATTGAAATGAATAGTCTAGGGAACATACTGTATTAATGTACTCTACTCCATATAATTTGTGAACATTTACATGATTTGTACACTTTGAACTCCCTTTCAGACTGAAAGGGACTGAAAAAATTCATACCGAGAGATTCTCTAAATTCCCCTCTAATATATATTCTATTCTCTATGCCTTTACCTAGATATTAGTTGCGTTTCCATGTCTTGAGAAGATATAAAGTAAAAGTAAATTTCTTCCGTGTTAGGAGTTTTGAACGTCGAATTTGAGCTCAAGTTCAGGATTTACAGATCTTTAAAAAGTTTAATATGTCTCAAATGAATCCGAAAGAAGTTTTCCACAACACTGCATACTCAGTTCAACTACCTTACAATTACATAGCCGGTCACTCCCTGAATAAATCCGTAAATCGTTTGTCGTAAAGAAATTTAAATAGAAAATTATCATTTCTTCATATTGAAAAAAGAATATGGTTTTTATCTTTAAAGGGATTATTTTTTAATCAAGTATGCAAACTTGGAGTTCCATTTGAGATTACATTTACAATCCCCTGAAATTTATCAAAAATTAAAGCTTAGTCTGTAGATGTGTTCAACGCACAAAATATTCTAGAAAATTTCATAAAAACTTTAATTTTAAAGCAAAATATATTTTGGGCCGACTATTTACATTTTATGACGGGTTTAAAGATAATCAGTGTAATGTAATATTTAAAATTGAATTTTTAGATGCATAAATTCAAATATGGAAATCTAGGAGATTTACTCAAGAACTTAATTAATTAATATTATGAAAATTTGCATTTTTATTTAAAACATGATAAATTGTTTCATTGGACTGTCATTGTAATTTCAAGTAGACCTTCATTTAGAGAATTAGAATGTACACGTCTTATAAGAAAATATGCCATTGCCACAAACTCTGATTTTCTAATCCCTATATATTTGCATCTCAATGTCGTAGACCTTTGATACTACTCTGAATTCTGTTATATCAAATAATCTAAATTTGAAATATCTGCCTTCGAAATAGCAAAGATATACACCATCAGGTTGCGAACATATAGAGATTAGAAAATTTGAGTTTGTGGCAAAGACTCAATCCCTTTGTTTTTAATTTTCTTTTTTCTTCCGAAAATTGATTTTGATTTTGATGAATTTGCAGTTTTATGTAAAAGCGACTTGCCGATTCAAGCGCAAAAGGAAAACAGCAAATGAGATTTATCTACATTCTACAGATAGAAAAACTACAATATCTTTCTCATTTTTAATCTAATAAAAAATTATGTAACGCTTAAAATTCATGGTCACTTGAAATAAAATCGCAAACAGTTCCTTTAAAATAGAAATTGATAATTAAACAAATATTTGATTTAGTAGATATAAAGGTTCAATTTCTCTTCATAAGAAAATGTTTTAAAACTTATCCTTTAAGAATATATATTGTTAAATCTAAGTTGGCTAAATATTGTTTCAAATGCTAAAACTTGATTTTACATTAGATTATGGCCGGTCCGTATTTCAATCAATCATTCTCAGAGTTCAAAACTTTTAAACTTTTAGGTTTGTTGCAATGTACAGTTAGTTTTAGAATTTACAGTTTACAGCTTACAGTTTATTCTTTAGAGTTTAAAGTTTACAGTTTACAGTCTACATTTTACAGTTTACAGTTTACAGTTTACAGTTTACAGTTTACAGTTTACAGTTTACAGTTTACAGTTTAAGTTTACAGTTTACAGTTTACAGTTTACAGTTTACAGTTTAACAGCTTTCAGTTTACAGTTTACAGTTTACAGTTTACAATTTACAGTTTACAGTCTACAGTTTACAGATTATAGTTAAAAGTTTACAGTTTACAGATTACAGATTATAGTTTACAGTTTACAGTTTACAGTTTACAGTTTACAGTTTACAGTTTACAGTTTACAGTTTACAGTTTACAGTTTACAATTTACAGTTTACAGTTTACAGTTTATAGTTTACAGTTTGCAGTTTACAGTTTACAGTTTACATTTTACAGTTTACATTTTACAGTTTACATTTTACAGTTTACAGTTTACAGTTTACAGTTTACAGTTTACAGTTTACAGTTTATAGTTTACAGTTTACAGTTCCAAAAATGTATTAATTCTATTTAGTTGCATCACAAACTTCATCTTATTTGCATTTGCAAATATATGGTTTCTAATTTTAGGATTCATTGAGAATGAAAAAAACGCACAAACAAGAAAACAAATTATTGCATTTCTTGTCAATCTAGATTATTATCTATTCTTGTAAATTATTTTCTCATTTCTCATTAGAATTTTGATGATAACCAAGGGCATTTTTTGGCATAATTCTTCAAGAATTATAAATTATTTGAACTAAAAATTCAAAAGATAGTTATTTAAATTCAAAATGCCCTTTCACAAAAAAATTCTAAAATAAAATAGCGTTGAATAATATAAAGTAATTGAGCCTTTGCCACAAACTCAAATTTGCTAATCCATACATCTTTGCAACCTGTTGGTGTAAACCTTTTATATATGAAAAAGGATGCGTGCCAATGACTGAGTTTCTATCTTCTTTTTTAATAAAATAATACCAAAAATATAATTGGAGATTTAAAACTAAAAAATTTAACTTAATTAAAATTTTTTTTTTTTAATTTGCAATTTCCATTGTAAGGAAAAAGCATTAATTTCGTAAACTGATTTTTAAAAAATTTAATAAGTTTCCAAAATGCTGTTTTTAATGTTTTCTTCTTGCATACTTTATGATTATATAAAGCTATTACTTGCAGCCTTTATTCAGCAATATGCAGTAAATTATATTAAACAAACTTACGGCAACTCTATGGGTAATAATGCAATCTTTTATTAAGTCTGTCATGAAAAGTCTGAACATTTTTTTATGATATTTGCAATAAATTCGAATATTACTTTATCTTAATTATGTTTTATACTTTAGTGCATTTTTGTAATCTCAGTTTTCTCAAAAGTTAAAAGTAAACCTTTTTTTGATTATGTTCTTTAAGTTTCTTTAGCAGAAATGTAAAAAAATTTTACATTTTTTTTTTTACAAAAAAAGTGTTCTATATCTTTGCAACCTAAGTTCTTATCCCTATATCTGCGCAAACTAATGGTGTAAATCTTTGACATTTCAATATGTTTTAACATAATTCGTCTTTTGAATTATCTAAGGCCTACGTCGTTGGTTTGGAAAGATATAGGGATTAGAAAATCAGAGTTTGTGGCAAATACTTAATTTCTTTTCTTGTTTAAGATTGGTGTTTGTGGTGGCTGGATTTTCAGTCCTAGTTTATCTATTTGTGTTCATCAACCCTCGGTTTGGCAGTTTATAGGAGACAATGGACTTCTTACTGATCTCATATTCAGGTAAAGCCCCCCCCCCCCACTTGTCTGACTGATTTAAGTATCTTTGTATCTTCAAATTGTACGTCAATCTCCTTTACTAAACTTTACTGTTTCTTCGGTCAGTGTATTGCTTAAATTACTGCAGTACAGACCGAAAGCTTAGTTGATGGTAGAGTCAGAATTTTTGTGTTGATCAGTGTCCTAGCATTGATCTCCATCTAATTCAGACTTAAGGATTGATTTAAATCACCTTCGATATTCCGTTCCGTGGTGGTCATAATTTGAAGGGATACCTTTAATTGATCATAAAATTGTTAAGTGACTGCACAGCGATGGATGGATTACAAACATTCGAACATGAAATTAAGGTCCAAACCCTCTAATAATTTATGTGAGTTATGATGGTGTGTATTTATTAATTCATGCCAGCTTTTTTTGGTTTAAGATTATTGTGTTTGAGTGCGGGATGGAGTACCCCCCACCCCATTATTGCTAGGTCTGGGCACGTTCCAACTTGTTTAAGCCGTTTCGTTAACGGTTAATTCCAACAGTTTTTAAATTAAAACCTCAGCTAGCCGTTAGTTTATAGATAATAAGAACGAGACTTCGTTTCGTCAACGATATTTTCTGTAAATGTTTGTTAACAATCTCAATTTCATTAATGGCGTTAACGGAAAATTGTCAATAATTATTAAAGAATTAACGGTGTTAACGGTGCAAAGGGCTAAAAAATGTCGTTAACGGTGAATAAAATTGTTAATGGCGCAGCCATTTAAGGTCTTTTACAGTATGTAACGGCGTTAACATTAATTTTTTTTCAAGAACGGTGAATCCGTTTCTTTAATGATTCGAAATTAACGATTTTTGCCGTTTGTTAACAAACTCTTCCGTTTATTTTCGAACACCTCCGTTTTGTTAAAGGAACTTTGCCCAGCCCTAAATATCGCTGCTGTCATTTTTGAAATTATCATTGATTTAACTTGTATCAAATATAGGTGTTTATTAAAAATAAAGGAATTGAGTCGTATGTAACAAAATTCTGATTTTATTATCCATCTGTCTGATTGCAACCCAATATTTATAGACATTAGATATTTCAAACTATAAATTGTGTTTGATCAAATAATCTAAGGTTAAAAATTTAGAGATTAATAAATTTGAGTTTGTGGCAAAGGTCCAACCCTTTACTTTAATTTGACTTGGAAAAAAACAAGAAAAGCTTTATCTACAGAGAGAAGCAGAAAGCTCTGGAAGACGACTTTTATACTTATAAGACATAATTTTCGCAATTTATTTTTATTAGCTGGCCTTAAAAAAATATGTTTTTATAAGTAGGAAGGTTTATTTTGATTTTCATGGACTATGAGAACCTTTTTTACAGTCATTTTAACGCATTTAAATAGTACAAAAAGTGCAACTTATTAGTTTTGTGTGAAATTATGGTTTAAATTTTCTGTTTTGTTTGTTTCTGCTTATTGACGTTGGTACTAAAATGGTTTATCTATTTTATGAAAATTTAGTAATTTATAAAGTTGACATCCCATACTTTAAAAATTTACACACGTTTAATATTTTCATTTTCTACTCTTTTCCCCAATTAGATAGATAAACGTATAAAATTTAGTTTCCTGGATCAAAATTAGAATGAAGCCACGAAAAGTCAAGGAACTTTGTTAAATCAACAAAATTAACAATATTTAAGATTTTATGAGACTTTCGACAATTAATTCTTAAAATTAAAGTTAAATTAAATTCTAATGTCTAAGGCTACAAAAAGGTAAGTCAGTGAGATAAATCCAAGGCCAAGGCATTGCGACACTTAAAAGTCGACCCAGTCTTAAAAATTGATGCATTAACAGTCTGAATTTATGTGGTTTGTCTAACCCGACCTATAGATAGAAAAAAATAAAACCCTTGATATGCCAACGATAGCGAACTGTCAACTGATTCAAAAGTGGTAACGTCCCCAACCCTAGTTGAAACAATGGTATACAGGGTTACCCACACAGGATGAGACTTCAGAGACGACTGTCCTGTTTATTTATATGCATAATCCTCTACACTACTTCTTTCTTTCTTTGACAAATCATTATTTAAGTCATTTAAAAACATATTCAAGGCAGCTGGGACTTAATTTAAACTTGAAATCGTCATATTTGAGAGTTTGCAGTTATCTTCACAGTCTCATCCTTTGTGGGTATCCCTGTATATATATAGTAGAGAAAGAGTAATTACCCGTCCTGGAGTAAATTGATGGGGTTTCTGTAAAGATGTGTCAAAGAGGTAGAATCAATTGGCAGAACAAGCTAATTAATTGTCCTTCTCTCTCTCTTTGATGGATTAAATTCTCTAATGTAATTGCAGAAATGTAAAAGCTGGCTGATCAAGTTTAAATAAAAAGCAAAAGTTTTAAATTTACGGAAAATGTTGAAATGGTTCCTTATATTTTAAAAAATTCTTGTTCATTTTTGAGATTTTTAGGGGTTTCTCTCTGCAGAGAGTACAGTTAGAAATTAGGTTTTTTTCAATATTATTAATTAAGATTATATATCTATCATCTAATTTTAATGTAAACTCTTTTTATAAATATCCCATATTTCTAGGATAAACGATGAATGTGGATTTCATCAACAAAATTCAAGGTAACTAGAAATAGAACTAGAAAAAGAGCTAGAACTAGAACTAGAACTAGAACTAGAACTAGAACTAGAACTAGAACTAGAACTAGAACTAGAACTAGAACTAGAACTAGAACTAGAACTAGTTAGAACTAGCACTAGAACTAGAACTAGAACTAGAACTAGAACTAGAACTAGAACTAGAACTAGAACTAGAACTAGAACTAGAGCTAGAACTAGAACTAGAACTAGAACTAGAACTAGAACTAGAACTAGAACTAGAACTAGAACTAGAACTAGAGAATATAAATAATTTTACATCTTGACATTTTTCATCCAAAAACAATATATATAGCGCAGTAAAATCAAACTTGATTCATGAGTATATAATAAAGTTAATACAATGTGTTCTAAAATAATTGCTTATTAGTTTTCTGTCTTAGAAAAACTTTATTTACTTTTAAAATCTGATTTTTACCTGATTTCAAAGTTTCTACTTTTTGAAAATGAAGTTCTTTTAATCTTTTATAAAATACAGTTAGTTGAAATTGCAAATAGTTAAAAAAGTTGATTATTGCACTTAAGTTTGAATGAAGATGATATTGATGAAAGTTTGAAGCGTCCTCTTCAAAACTATGGAGACAGTTCAAAATATGATCTCAGTAACACGTATCAGACGGTGAGTTCAGGGGGTTTAACAAACATGAAACTTGACATCACTTTAAGATCGTCTTTGATATTTAATTGATATCATTTAATAGCAAAGTTTGTATCAAAACAAGGTTGCAAGAGTTACAATTTTAAGCTTCCAATAATGAAATGTAGTTTATTGTTTTTTTAAATGACAAAGAAATTGTTTATTTAGCTAGATTTTATTTTATAAATTGAAATCTGAGCAAAATGATTTGAGTGTCCGGCAATTATTTTTAAAAGAGATTTTTTTTTTGTCCCCAGGACATGATCGGGTTGTTACGATCAAATCTCGGAATTTTTTCTATTGCGAAAGTTTGGTGTTGTTTTGGGATTTTATATTGATCTACCAGGGGTTGTAATCTGGCAGCACATTCATCCATCAACGCTTCACTCATACTGAGAAGAGGGTTGACAAGATTCCAGCTGCCTAAGATTCTTCTTAAAGGCCTGAGAATATAGAGTGCAGGAATCCTTCTGATATACTGGAATGAGGCCCGGGTGCCATACTGATAGGAAACATCACACTCATTGCTCCCTAACATCTGTAAGCCCGGATTGGATACCCTCAGGTACCTATAGCTGGCAACCATAGACTCTCCCTGCTTGTCCACCATACCTCTCTTCATCATCATTCACTTGGATCAATCCAACTTGAAGCTTCTTTCTTGTTGAGTAGAAAGCACGCACCCTTTCGCTGCGAGAGTTGTTGACAGCCGCCCCTCTGTCCTCCTACATCCGTCAGGTGGTCATAACTGCTTAACTAGAGGTCGGCTTCAGATGTTTTTGAAACCACAGGTTTGTGTGGAGAACGGGAATCGAACCCGTGAACACCAGTCTGGACACCAATCCAGTTACTGGCTGTGGAAAAGTGTGCTTAACTTCAGTGAGCTAAAGAGAACTGGTGTCACACACTATCCACCCCACCCCACAAACTATCCACCCCACCCCACAAAAATTATGGCAATTATGATATCACAAAAAGCAGCCCAAGTCTTAGAAATGCTAACAAGGTTTTTTTCATGAGTTTGTAAAACAATGACAAATGAATTCCGCAAATTATTTTTAGACGACATTAATTCCTTTTTTAAACAATCATGTTTAGGGAACTCTCAAATATTTTACACAGTACTAGGCTTTTAGGGTGCTTCGCGCCCATCTTCTATTTAAATTGTGAACATCTTCTTTTTGTTTACATTTTAAAACAAAGAAGAAAAAAATTTGCGGATTTTCAAGAATTTAAATTTTTTACAAAATTAAAACCTTTAAACACATTTTTAAAATTTTTATTATTCATAAACCTTCCCTGTGCACACGTGATGTCCCAAAAAAAATTTGGGCCCGATCGGTTCAGCCGTTTTGACGTTCATTGGATACAAACAAACAAACAAACAGACAAGCTAAATTTATATATAGATTACTTAGCGTTACCATTATCAATGAGCATTAAGGGAAACAAATTAACAAATTATTTAATCATTAATGGCCATTTTTAGATTAAATAATCATATTATAAACAAAAGCCATTGTGTGAATACAAATAACTTTCGGACAGTTAAATGATGGTATAATGGTCATTTTTTCAAAGAAAAAATATTATCAGTTAATTGATAAATTTGATTACGACCATTTTTAGAACTTTGTTTAGTATGATCAGCTGACTCCAGAATACAATAATCCCGCGGCATTGCTTCCAAACACTCAAAACGAAGACGACAATAAAGAGGTAAAAAATTATGAAGGAATGTGGACGAATTGTTCTGGAAATATTTAGGATTAAACAAAAGTTTTGATTAATTTTCAAAAATAGAATACTGCTTATTTAAAAATTTGAAAGCAGAAAAAACATTTTTTTTTAATTTAGTTTTGTTGTTAAAGCTAATATGATCAGAGACACTCTTTAATAAAAATAAGATAAAAAGACGTTGTTATTTTTAGAGTTTATTTTCAGGACGGGAAAGAGTATCTTGTTTACTACAGAAAAGAAAATTAATCTTAAAAAAGTGTTTATTTTAGAATCATATGTTTACTTTTGCCAAAGTACATTAAAAAATAAAAAGTACTTTAAATCAACAATTTAGATTTTTATTTGTTCTTTGTGTTACAGAGGATCAGTTTTTAAGACTGGGTCGACTGCGAAGTGTCATAGCGACTGGGGCTTTGAATTTATCGCACTTTAAAGCCAATGAGATGTAACTTTTTAGAAGCATTTGCGTTTAGCCTTAGTTTTTATCTATAAACTATCTACAGGGTGTCCCAAATCATATTAAATCGTTTATGGCTCTAAATTGCAATTTTTGGGACTAATCAGAATTTAAAAATAGTGAATCATTTTTGAAAAATGGTATAATTGTATTTGCATGTAGAAAACACCAGGCTCTTCGGGTATTATATGTATCTTTGAGATAATCCAATATGATATGGGAGGCTCTGGATAATCTCCGCTAATATCGAGAGCACACAACAAAAAAGGCAGACCACATTTTTTATAAGTAAAAGTAGGTTAAAAACAAATAGAGAAAATATTTCAAAGATCAAAGACGACCTTTCATTCGTCTTACTGCTGTCATGTTTTGTGGGACCCCCCCGTATCTGATATCTGTGGATTTTCCTCAATAATTGAGAAAAGTCTGAAGCAAACTTTGGAAGGAATTTAATAAAAGTTCTCAAATAAACTTCTTTATAGCGGACAACAATGATAAAAAGCCAACAATAATTTCTTTTCAACATTTTTAATATTCGTAATTCAGTATTTTCATTCTTAAAAACTAATTTTAATAAAAAGATTAAATAATGCGTTTAAAATTTGTATTTTCTAAAACATAAAACTATCTGGGGAAAGCTTCGCCTTGAATCTAAGTTTTCCTCATGATGATTAATGTTTTGAAAGCAAACGAAGAACATTACAACGAGTGTATACTATAACAGAGAGGAGTTATGTATGCTAAAATTTTACTAATAAATATGCCGCGAACTCGTCACCAAAAGCATATCTGATTAAGTAATTAATTGATCAAAAAGTCATTTTGATCAGAAATTATCTCTCAAAAAAGTTGCCAAAAACTATTAAATTTGTTTTTAAAGTTTTAAAGCATCAAGTTCTTTTGTTTAGATTAAATTCTTCAATGTTTGTTGTTTACAGGTTTTAAAAATATATTAATAAAGTTCATGTCAAATATGTTACAAAGTTAAAAACATTTTTGAAAATACTCAATTAAATTCTTTAAACATGTTTTTCTTGTTATAAATAGCATTTCTTTTCTGATAACAATAATATGTCTTAATTTGAGATATAACCAAAATATTTGTTGCAACTGTTTTGACATATTACAGCGTCTTTAAATTATTTATTTGTTGTTAAAGCTATTTCTAAGGATATCTTAGATCTATGGCTAAATTTGTTTTTTTATTTACGTTTCTTTCAAGTTAAGTTGATAAACAATTAACAGCAAATTTTAAAAACTTATAAAATATCTAGTTTTTCACATCATAAAGCACCATCACCAACTACATGGTCCAAAACTCATAAACACTCCATGTAAAATATGTATACACAAACTTTTTTAATTAAGAATTCTATTGAAAATAAGTAGTTTTAAAAATATCATATTGAAAAACTAAAAATCCGCGAAATATCAAAATGAAAATCTACGAACTCCGGAATCTTCCTTTACTAAACTAAAGTTCAGAAATACATCACCAGGAGTCGCTAGCGTCCATTAATTTTTGTTTTGAGATTTTTAACGTCAAAAAATAAAAACTTTATTTAAAGTGATAAAAAATTAGATTTTACTAGACCGTACTGAAGTATTTAAAAGTTTTGTTAAAAAATTATTAGACGTCAAATGCATGTTTCATCCATGATGATTTTATACTTATTTTCTTTCAATCAATTCGTTTAACACTTCCTTTCTCCATCTCTCTCCTTGTTGTTTCAGCTATTTTAAAGGCTTAAAGGCATAATAAAGCCAGCCTTAATATCTTAACTTAATTGAAGGTTTTGCTATATGATATATTCAAGAAAAGTGGATCTAGGATAGTTTTGAAAATGCATGGATATTGGTAGGTAGGCAATTTGGATATTCCAAATAATAATCATAGTAGCTTAGCATCACATTATTTAATAATGAAGATATATAAATTTACAACTTTTAAATGTACTTTGATAAATGGATATAATAATAAGGAATACTATTTGTCAAAACCACATTTAAAGACTGATTTATCTAAACTAAGACCCCCGGCTCCGCGGTTTAAAATCTGAAAAAAGATGAAAATTAATTTTCAGAATTTTAATATTAATTTTATCCTTTAAACTTGAAAAAAATAATCTAAAACTTTGTTTTTTAATGTTTTCCCAAAACCTTGATTCTTTAAATAATTTTCAAGGTTTTTCTATTTTCTGAAATAGTAAAGTTTTTCTGGTGGAATACATACAAAAATCTTTAACCATATAAAGGCTGGGGGTCTGAATCTATATAAAGAAAAAGGCTNGCCTTAGAGAATAGGTATAGGGTTGAAATGCATGTTCATAGCCCAATTTTTCAAGGCTCATAGAAAAAAATTAGACCGATAACTTTAATAGTTTGGTTGCTAGGGAGGGTTGAAAAAATGCCTAAAAAAGGGTAAAAAAAGTGAGGAAAAAAAATGCTTCTTTTAAACAAATATCAAAGTGTAACACATGTTTCTACATGCATTTTTTAAGGGCTTTTTAAAAATACTATTTTTAAATATGTAGCTTTAGTCACAAAAAAAGATGTGGGCCATTTTAGATTTTTTTCACAGACCAGACTTTTTTTCCGCCCTGTAGTCTACCCTATAAATAAAAAAATAAAAATTTTAACAAAAAATCCTTTAAATTACTAATCATTAAAAGTAAAAAAAAATTCACGGTGATTGTGACAAAAATGAAAGTGAGGACAAAAAAACTATAGGGGGGAGGGGGCGCAAAACGCCCCCCCCCCAGCCTGTTTAGGATTAAGTTGGTTATAAAACAGATTTTTTCTTAAACTTTTTAAAAGAAAATGAATGAAAAAAAATCTTCTTCTCATGGTTCATGCAATGTAAAGCCATAAAAAGGCAAACGAACCAAAAAACATTTTTCTTGACTCAATCAAAGGAACTTGGTGCCTCAAACTCTTATTTTCGAGTCCTTAATCTTTACAACCTATAGATAGTAGTCGTAGACCTTTGATATTCAAATCTATGGATTCTGCAATATTGGCCGGATTCAGGAATTTTCAAATTGAAAGTATAGAAGTCCTGCTAAATAGGCGATAGGTTATAAATAACTATACATTTTCTCTGAAACATTTCCACGAGGTAAATCAGTCCAGAGGGGTTCCTGAGTTAAGATCGGAAAAACAAATAAACAGAGAATATTACTTTATATGTGAATTAGTTTGAGAACGTAACTATGCCTGAAAACCGGAGAAAGGGTAGAGTATAGAATGCTGATGGACAGTTTGTACAGAGCCCAAAACTTAAGACAGAGTATCGTTATGAAAACCAGTTTTGAAACTCGGGTTTCACGAATGGGATTAAGCAGTTTTGTGGATATCAATATCTTTTAAAGTTAAACACTTTGAATTGACGAAATAAAGATTTTGAATTTTCAAAAAATCCATCATCATATACAAAAGTTTTTTTTCCCAAAATATTTTTTTGTGCTCCAAATTGAGAATTTTACTCAAAAAACTGTTATTTGTTCTCACGAGCAATTTTTATTTATATGCATGATAAAAATTTAACATCCAATATGCCTCTGTTTATGTGATAAGTGAATTAACTTGGAAGGAAAGGCCAAAAACGGAAAACTATATCGCAAAAACAGTAAAAATAGCCATATTTTTATTTCTTTTTTTACTTTAAAAAGCTTATTTGATAACTAAACGGAGAATACTATAAGACTCAGTTAAATTAAATGGTGTGTAAACCAATATATAAAATCTTTATACATTATCCAACTCGAAAGAAACAAATTCTAAATCTGACGAAGCTGTAAGAATAGTTTTATAAAGAATGTACAACATGGTGGGCTTAACCATTTATTAATGAAAAAAAGAACAATATTTTAATTAGGTTTCTAATTATTGTAAAGTACTCCACAACTCTATCTTTTTCTTTTCTCAAAGATTTCTTGAAATAGAACATCATGATTTCCCTGATTTCCTTCACTTGTGAACTTCAAGCAGTACATAAATCTCCTGATTGACCCGGCATCATGAAACCTTAACAAGATTATGTGTAAGCTTAAGATCAAGTGAATTTAATGGTTCTGTCAATATTCCAGAAAGCTATAACTTTCGATCACTCCTATTAAACATAATTTTTCAGCTTTTTTTCTTAAATACTTTTTTGCCGGCATATATGTTTTGAATAAAAAGTATATAACAAAAAAATCCGTAACTTTAAAGATAGTCAAAATATAAACCAAAACGAGAATGATTTCAAATTGAAGAAACCGAATGCCTCTAACTCTGTTTAGTCAGGGGAGAGATATATACAGTGGCCGTGGGCTGTCATCCCCCCCCCCCCCCTCCGAACACCCCATCTATACGCCCTTGATATGAAAAAATTATGAAATGTTCCTTTAAGACGAATCCAATTCGGAAAATATGTTACAGTCTATAAAACAAAATATGCGTTGGTTGATCTAGCTTTCCATCCTTCTTTCAAAAAATATTTCCACAAATGACACAAGCCGTGGAGGGATAGTCTAGCTCTGTTGCAGAAATGTTGATTTTTCAAAAACTTTATAATTGTAAATTATTTAAACAAAATTCATATTTTACCTTGGTATAAGCTCTTATGTTTCGGAGAAGTATTGTTATGCCCATCGGATAATTTTTCAAGTTTACTGATGATCGTGTAACTTCTTAATTTGCAGTTTTATACAACAAATCTTTCATGCTATGGGATAGAAAAACTGTCTACTGTTTACATACCCCATATCTGTGTACACAGATGCCGCAACTCTCATTTATCCGATGTACTGTATGTCACTACATGATCTATACCTAACACCGATTCCCTTCTGTCCCTGATCTCTGTCCTTATTGCAAAGACGACGGATTACATCCCTTGCTGAAAACTAACCATCCAACTTGTTAAACCAACAAACTTGTTAAACCACCCAACTTGTTAAATCAACAAACTTGTTAAACCACCAAACTTGTTAAACCACCCAACTTGTTAAACCAACAAACTTGTTAAACCACCAAACTTGTTAAACCACCAAACTTGTTAAACCACCCAACTTGTTAAACCACCAAACTTGTTAAACCACCAAACTTGTTAAACCACCCAACTTGTTAAACCACCCAACTTGTTAAACCAACAAACTTGTTAAACCACCCAACTTGTTAAACCACCCAACTTGTTAAACCACCCAACTTGTTAAACCAACAAACTTGTTAAACCAACAAACTTGTTTACCACCCAACTTGTTAAACCAACAAACTTGTTAAACCACCCAACGAACAAAAGTTGACTTAAACTTGACTTATAATCCCAAAAGTTGACTTTAACTCGACTTGAAGTTATTCTTTTCTATAAACTAATTTTAAACTAGTATTAAACGAGATCTGTTGGCTGGGCAGCTAAGAAAATTTCCCGTGGTTCTATCGAGTTAAACCTAAAGCAATATGTAGAGAAAATCGTTCAAAGGTTATCTAAGTTATGATCGGACATCAAGGAAACAGTAAATTTAGACTGTAGCGTTCTTTAAAGATAACTTGTTATTATCTTTAAAAAATACGTGGTTAACACCCATTTTACAGTGAAAAAATGCTGATATTTTAGCCCTATTATGTGTATTTGATGATATTAAATTTAAAATATTTTGTTTACCACTTTATAGCTTGAAAGAATAAACAAAAGGAAATGGGTCTCTATGTGTAAACTGTAAATGATTTTTATGTTTTATGTTCATATATTTTTTTAATCTAGCTTGGGAACCCAGCGCTGCCAAGTTCACTAAAAGTTACTCCTGCCGTTTAACCGCACTTAAACGATTTTACCAGGAAACTAAAACTTCGCTATTAAAGTCAACTCACTCAACTTAGAATCTCAAAACCAAGCTAAGAACATTCCCGTGAGTCTCCCGAGTTCCTCAATCAAAATTTGAGGCAAATCGGTTCTTAAGTTATGATCGGACAAACAAACAGACAGAGATTAGAACTTCATATACATAGATATAATAACGTCAGCCGTAAAGTCGTCTTTTAATTCCACAATTTCATGGGTCCAACCACATTTTCATTTATCTTTATAATAAACATTGTCAACAGTATTTCATGGAATTGCTAAATTGTTTTTGTAATACTTTGGACATTTTAATTTGATAACATGTCATTATTGTTTTTTCTTTTAAATGCAAAAGTTAACAACTTTCTTGCACATTTTATGTTTAATTCTAGAAATTAAAGGAATACCAAAAAAAAACATAATTCAAGATGTATTTTCTGAGTTCTGATTTTTTTCTTTTTTATTAATTTTCCTTTTTTTGTTATTTAGGAGTTTATCTGTATAATGAATGTATTTATCCATATATTGTTTGTAATTGTTTGTGCATAGATTTTATTCAGTTGTTGATAAAAGATGTTTTATTATGTATGCGCACAGATTATTTTAGTGACCTGTACAATTCTTACGATTGTGCATAGAACACTCTCTGTTAAAACCTTAAATAAATCCAGTATTGAAAAAAAGTTGCTGTCAATATGTGTTCTTTATTAATTGGTAAATTAATGACTTTTGACAAAAATAAATTTACATTTAACATTTTCTTTTGTGGAAAGGGATGGGGGGGGAAATTCATCATTTAAAAAGAATAATCTGGCAAGTAAAAAAGTTTATGGAAAATTAAAATGCTACAATATTTATAAGAAAGACCTTTATAATCCAGTATTTTATATCAGTCTTATCTGTAATTTTTTTTACACTATAGAACAGCTGATCATGGGCTTTAGTATTTTTAAGGGATACAAAACACTATTTTTGTATATCATAAAAGTAAAATAGGGATAAATATTTTGGACTGAAATCAACAACTCATACCAATGATATTTCGAGAATACGGGATTATAATTTATTAACTTAAATATACAAACGAATACTCTACGATCAAATAGCAATTGAAGCAAGAATCAAAGTAGAATGAACACAGCTTTATCCCACTCCCACTGCTTTCTGAAAGGGTTGATCATCAACTGTCTCATCAGCAAGCATTCTTTTGACCCGCCATCTCCCACCGGGGATCTATCCCTAGCCTCCTTGAACTGGCGGGTCAACGCCCCTTACACCACGCTACTCCGAGATAAGGGATGGCGTCAGGTATAAGCTAATCCTAGATTTTGGCGTGGCTTGGTCTATTTATAACTACAAACTTAGCATCATTCTAATTATAACTGAATATATACAGAAGGGGGTTAATACCCCTTCAAGCAGAAGATCGCTGAAAGATCAAACAACGATCATAACTCTGCCACAGTATTATTTAAAATTTTTGAAAATCCACCACAAAAAAAACACAGAATATAAAAATAGATCTTTTTTAAAATTGAGGAAAAAGAGTAAGAGTGACCATAAAAAGTTAAAAACTTTTCGTGAAATAATCAGGCAATTATATTTTAAAACAAAAAAATTTACATTTATTTGTAGAATAATAAAATTTCAGCTTTATAATTCTATACATAACTTTTATTGGAGAATAAAGTGATGATTAAAACTATTGAACAGTAGATTACAGAAAATCCAGATATGGTTGTAGTTGTAGGTACAGTAGTTGTTGTGGTAGTGGTAGATTTAGTAGTTGTAGTTGAAATTGTAGTTGTAGTGGTAGGAACAGAAGTTGTAGCTGTAGTAATAGGTTTAGTAGTTGAGGTGAGATATAGGGATTAGACTCTTTGAGTTTGTGGCAAAAACTCAGTTCCTTTAATAACAACTAAATTATTGTTAACATAAGGTGGAAGTCCTGGCATTCAAGTATTCTACTTGAAATATCTTAATCATGGGTACTGGAATAGGGTAAGGTAGTCATACAATTCTAGCTTCTGTATCTTACCTACGTCATCCCGGTACAGGGCACAAAGTGGACACTGGCGAGTATACGCATAATTGTGATTGGCATTTCTTTGGCGGTCTGAGAATTCTCCACCAATAGTTTTAATCAGTGACGTCAGAGGATACGGATCTTCCCCCCGTACCGTATCGACCTTTCATTCGTGCGCGAGCCTCGTTGGGATACCCTATTCCAGTACCCATGATCTTAATATAGGCTTAAGCCTGACAAATACTTTCCGTTTGGATTAATCATATCCTGCATAGTATTACTTCCAACTGTCGTTGGAGATCATTGGCTTAGTTGTAAAGCCAAAAGGTGAGATGCATGGTTAATTGTATGGAAGCTAAAACTATTTTAATTCAGATTTAATCCCTTCCACATGTGGAATTCACATTTAATTTAATTTTACCAATTTTGAGTTTATTTTAATTGACATTAATATTTTTCAGTAATATTTGAATGCACAAACACGCATCCTGGTGGTAAGTTTGTGAACTTGTATTTATTTTAAGTTAGGATATTGGTTCCCGGTTTACATTTTTAAATTTTGCGGATTTTTAGCTTTTTGCTTTAGTGCTCAATTTGATGAAAAATAGGTAAGCTAAGATTACTTTTCACTTCATGGCTGTATTATGCATTTAATCTCCTGTTCAACGAAATAACCAACCTTAAATTCCCTCCTTTTTTAATTCCAGGGAGGATAATTACTTATCCTCCCTATTTACAGGGAGGATAATTACTTATCCTCCCTATTTACAGGGAGGATAATTACTTATCCTCCCTCTTTACAGGGAGGATAATTACTTATCCTCCCTCTTTACAGGGAGGACAATTACTCATCCTCCCTCTGTGATCCATACAGATTTATCAAATAAATAGTTCTCTAATTTAATTTTATATTTACATTTATCACTCTCTTAATCAATCTTTATCAATCTCTTAATCTTAATCCATATGCATTAGTAAGAAATAAGAGAATTAAAATCATAATTGATAGTTTTATTGATTTCATTATTATTTTATCCCCCACGGTTGGTTATTTCGTTGAACAGGAGATTAAACGATAAATTACTACTTAACCGGGAGTTTTCATGAGGATAATTAAATTGAGGGGAAAACCACTTAGCCGAGGGCCTCCTCGACCTTTTTGGGGTTCTAAACCTCACGAGCGTACTTAATCTCCCGGTTAAGTAGTAATTAATAGTTATAAACATACATATTAACTGTAATATTTTTAGGGGGAGGGGGAAATTTATCTTTTAATGAATTTAGTCATAATAAATCTCAGAATACTAAAGTATATTTTTGCTCCTATCTAAATAAACATGCTGTAGCAAAATATAAAAAAAATTATTTTCTCAGGCACTCTCATTTTGTCACTAGTAAAAATCTAGTTAAATCTAATGATATATTTTTTAAATATTTTAAATATTAATACTTAAATTGATTAAATTTAAGAATACTAAGTGAACTTGGGAATGAAAGAAACAATTGAAAAACTATTATAATTCTCAAACCATTAAAAAAACATAGATAACAAGCAATGTATGCCTCTCCAATTATTGTTTTTAAAGCATTTCTGTGTACTGCATAAAAGTAATTGATTATTATAATTTTAAAGAAATATTTTATTTTATTTTATCATATTTGATACAATTTTAAAGCACTTGAAGAAATGTTATCTTATACAAATAAATCATTATAAATCAGTTGATCATGAAATCTCAACCAGGAGTAATATTCCTACCTGTCTTTTTCCTGTTGATAATACAAGGCAAAGATCAAATTTAACTTCTTAAAGGGATTGTTAGCGAAACATGCAAAGATGGTAATGCCGGATTCACAACAGTATCCTTATAGGCTTTTTCTGGTTATAGTAGCATGACAAATTTATTGGAAAAGGCATTAATAGAATAAAAGTTTTCATTGATTAAACTAAAAGTTTTAAAGTTATAAATGATAATTAGGTATTTTACTTTAAGAGCTAACTCAGTTTCATAAAACCATTAT